TATTATCTGTCATTGAATTTATTTCTCACTTCTCTATCACGTTGTATTAACGAAATTTTATATTTTTCGGATTGAATCGGTTGCTTGTGGCCCGTCATATAAAATTATTGTTTTGACCTTGAAAACCATTTTTTAGGTTAAACAGTTTGGTTCCGTTACCGGGAACTCAAGTAAATTTGCTATTCATCCAAAGATAGTAATAATTTTTGTTAATATTCGCTTGTTTTCAGTTTATACCTTCATCATGGCCGAAATTTACCAATCAACACAGTTGAGGACAACCAAGTTGGAGATGGCTTTGCCATGCAAAATAAAAAGGGAAGAATAGCCATGATAATGAGAAACAGAGAAAAATGGAGAATGTACATCGATATATTGGTACCGCAACTATCAGTACAAAAACTGATTATAACGGATCTGTACGAAACAGTTCCGGAATAGGACGTTCAGATACACCAGGTTCGAAAACCAAACTGAGGTGATTTCGGATCCGATTGGAGGAGTTAGAAGAATAACGCCGGACCTTCCCGGAACTAAGGAGTAAAATTTACATTCGATATAATACAAAACTTCGAATAGAGGAAGATATGTTCATTCAATTGAAAGTCAAAAATAGGTCCGGAGATCAAGCAGATGTGATTCTTGGGTGATCCGAATCTAAACGCAAAAATCTAAAAAAAACAGGTCCGAGCAAAGAGATACGAGATTTTCTTCACGGGCTGGAAAAGATCCGGATCTGCCCGAACAGGTAAGGAATTACCTTACTAAATTGTAAAATTTCACAGGAGAAGAATGAAGATTAGGAAGAACATGGGTAAAACACCCACGAGATTGCTTACAAAGATACCACACCTAACAAATGAAAAAGAAAAGATAGCTGCGGGATGGAATAGACACGAGAAAGGAAGGTTCATTAATAACTTTGGACAATTATACAAATATTTTCGGAAGCAATCATTGGACCGAAGGCATCAGAAGCCACGAGATCAAATGCTGAAGAACTAGAAATTATCATTGACTTCCCAAATAAGAAGGTTTACGTTGGTCGAGACTCGACACCAAATTTAAAGGTAAGGTGATTAAACTTTTACATGCTAAAAAAAATTGCTTTGCTTGCCTCCATGCTAACATAGCAGGTGTACCACCGGAGGAAAAGGTTTATATGCTCAATATTGACCCGTGGTATAATCCGGTCAAGCAAAAGAAGAAACTAGAGTCAAATAATAAAAGATAAAGTTACAAAACTTTGAAAGATCGGTTTAGTCCGAAAAGTTGAATCATTCGAACTTGCTATCTAACAACAACGCATCATTACTTTCAAAATTTCGAGGAGAAAGATGATTGCCGGTACACAAAATTATCTCGAATGTCTCGGCAAATGCAATTTTAATTCAAGAAGATAAAGGTACACATTCTCCTATCTATTATAAAATGCTCTTAGATACGGAAACTACATATCTACATTTTGATAAGTTGGCATTAATTGTAGTTTCCTTAAATCTAAGGCCTTATTTTCAATGTCATTAAATTCCCATAGTCACTATATTTTTATTACGTAATATTTTGCATAAATATGAACTGTCAAGAAGGCTAGCTAAATGAGTAGTCGAACTAAGTGAATATGATATTATTTATCAGCCACGTACGACTATAAAATCACAAATTTAGTAGATTTCATGATTAATCTTAGCTCGAACATATTACCCGAACATGTTATTTCTGGGATAATTCTCGGGATCTGGACCTTCCACACAATTAGGTCCACAAGTACTAAACTTCCCGAGTTAGGGGCAATGCTTAATGCCTATCAGGGAAAGTAGTTAGATAATTCATAAATGTTAGGGGCAATGCTTAATGCCTATCAAGGAAAGTAGTTAGATAATTCATAAAAGTTATTTTATTACTAACAACAAAGCAGGGTATGAAGCATATGCTACAAGGCTTAAATTAGCTTGGGGACTCAGAGCAAAAATATTGATTTAACGATTTATCAAATCCAAGAAAACTATGCAGCCCAAGAAAATCGAGCCGGATGTGTTAGTCTCAGATCTACTGCTGATATCACTGACTTAGAAAGCAACTCTGGGCACTTATTCAGAAATATCGTTTCCGGATCAAGCAGTCTCGGGATCGAGCCATCTCTTATTTAGGCGATTCCTGATCTATCATCAATTAGAATGAAAATGAGGTAAGCCTGACTAATTAATTTTGGAATTGGCATAATAAATTCATTTATTACTTGCAGAATGAGACTTTACCCAAAGATAAGCATGCTCTCGATAACTCTGAGTGCGTCTCATCCCGTACTACCTGCCTTGTTGGAGGAGAATTATTTTTGAGAATATTCAAGGCTCCAAAAGCTAAAATGCCACATGGACCAAACAAACAAAATATATGATGCGAGAAATTTATAAAGAAAGCAGTGAAAATTACTCCGGTAATAAGGCTTCAAATCAAAAACTCATCAAAGTCAGTATGAATAGCTCAAATCAAGATATGGCATGATCCTCGACAACATTTTGGAACCTCCGTAGTTCCCGGCCAGAGTACAAAATATTTGATAAAAAGAGCTTCGGTACTGTCCCTATGTTGGAACTGGACCATTTGAAAGTCCATCAATATCGAAACTAACTATCCTACTGGGGACTATTAAACTGCAGACTGTCGAATTATGATTCCAGTGTTTGAGTTCTCATACCTCAAAACTCAAACACTAGGGAGATTACTTATACTTGAAGATTCGTCAATTTGACCTGACATTATAAGAAGTGATACAAGCAATTGCCTTGGGAGATAGAATTCCTAAGAGTATTCCGACATTAATTACCATCTCAACTCAATTAGTTGTCTTGCTCATATCAAACATAAACACTTCAAACAGTGTTGAATGAGTTCTTCAAAAATACATATACTATACAAAAAGGATCGAGAACTCCATGTCAGAGTCAAGAATCCCACTATAAAAAACGAGATTTTTACATCTAAGTCAAGATAAAGGTATGCAAATATGCCACCAGAATAAAGTTCACTTTGAACAAATACATGATTTATATTCGGTCCAACAACGACCATTCAAGCTAAATATCTAAGCCTTTCTTAATGGCTAATTGTATTATGCCTCGGATCGATTATCCCGTATATATAAATAAAAATCTCAAATATTATTTCGGACATGTGTCCCTCTCTACTTGGAAGTATGTTCATATACTCCAATTTAGGTTCAAAATCCAATCAGATTAAATGTCTCTTCAGGACAAATCTACTAAGATATATATTTATATAAAAGTTAGACACTCAAAGGTGCAACATTAAGACATCGCACATGTAACGATGCATCCAAATATATATTTTAAGTCTAAAAGACTAAGTATAAGCACTCAAATAATTTTCTAAAGTGCCAAAAAAAAAAATTGTACTCGGATAAATTCTCTAAAATACCAAATGATGATATTGGACCCGAAAGACACGAGGAACACTGTATTATTTCCGGTCTAGATTACAACCCTTTTGATAAAAAAAAAGGGTTAAGCAGTCATCATCTAAAAAATTTACCTCCGAGTCCCGTATGTTTTTCCTTTTCAGGAAATGGACCACATGGAAGGAATAGTCAAATGCTCGAGATTTCATACTTCAAAGCTCTAACACTTGGGGACTATATATATGGAAAGCAAAGAAGACTAGAAAAATCAAAATTCAAGTCAAGCCTAAAGGTCTACCCAACAAATCGAAAGTTAAGAGCAAAGTCACGAGCCAAAAACACAAGCCTGACTCGAAAACCTTTGAAAACATATTCGTAAATATAAACGAATGTTTCAAAAAAGGTTAAAGGCAGAATATTAGTTACGGGTAAAAATGCACATCTTTGTATTTACTCAAAAACTGTTGAAACTGAAAACAGTTACGGATGAAAAAGCATTACCCTTGTATTCATTTGAAAACTGTTATCAATAAAAACAGTTATGGGTAAAAATTCATACCCTTATATTTAAAACTGTTGTAAACAAAAATAGTTATCTCCTTGTACTAATTCAAAAAAAAACTGTTGCAAAAGAAAAACAGTTACGAGTGCAAGCTTATATCGAATCTGTTAAAAGAAAAAACAGTTGCAAAATGAGTTATAGACGATACACAAACACATGTGAAATGTTATGAAAGTTAAATGTAAAAACTTTCTTCAAAACATTGTTAAAGAAAAACATGTGAAAACCTATCTCTCTTTTGTATATTTATACCATTACGAAGTTGAGACGTCTTCTTCATTAAGTGTCGTTCATAAAAGGGCCGTCTTTTATAATTCGTGCTTATTCAAAAAAAGTCACGGAGCATTGAAGCATTTTTAATGCAAAGTTAAAGGGTGAAACAAAATCCCAAACATTAAAATAGGCAGAAAATAAAGCCGAAATTTATATAACAAACTTTGCAAACATAAGGCAAAGATTTGTCTTCAAACCCCGAAACAAGACAAGGGTAAACCAATCGTTTATTGACGAAAGGAACATAAGCGGTGGAGTTATTATCTGAATCTCTAAGTTCTGCACTCTTTTTTCCTTCGTCCGGTTTTTGTTCTTATTGGGGTTTTCTGGCAAGGTTTTTAATGAGGCAGAGGTAAGGATGAAAAGGATAAAATCTTCCACTTCCCGGTCACATCATATTGAGTAACCGGAAAGTGGGGGGACTATGTATTAGTAAAAATTAGACTCACCATGTGGGTCTATTAAATGGCGACACGTGTCAGTAAAGTTTGAAGAAAAGTGAAGAATGACATGTAAAGATGATATGTAAAACACCCCCGGACCGAACATACTCATACCGTGCATGTTAGCCCCGGAACTGATCATCATGAAATAGCCCAAAACAGGCAGGGGATTGACTCAACAGGCACGGGATTGACTCATTAATTACAGAATTAACTCATCAGTTATGGAACTCATCAGTTACGGAATTCCAGCATTTACACAGTTGTTACAAATCTTCCAAAAGTAATTGATGGATTGAGTAAATGCTCATAATGGACCCATAATTTAAGGAGACTAGTTACTTAGATTTAGCCCTATAAATAGACATACTTTTACCACCATCAGGGGAATCTAATTTTTTTCTCTACAATTCTATACATTGTAATTTATAGCATCTTACTCCCAAGTTAGCCATAGTTCGGCCCTTCAAGCTCTGTTCGGCTTATTATCCTATCAAGGATCATTCAATAAGAATTCTTCTTCTCTGCTTTATTTTTATTATATTATCTGTCATTGAATTTATTTCTCACTTCTCTATCACGTTGTATTAACGAAATTTTATATCTTTCGGATTGAATCGGTTGCTTGTGGCCCGTCATATAAAATTATTGCTTTGACCTTGAAAACTATTTTTTGGGTTAAACANTCTTTCGGATTGAATCGGTTGCTTGTGGCCCGTCATATAAAATTATTGCTTTGACCTTGAAAACCATTTTTTAGGTTAAACAATGATATGTTACTTACTCCTGGCACAGGGAAGCTGCTAAGTTGACTAACATCGGTAAGTTATTGGAGCGCCGAGGAAAAGAGTTATTAGGATCAAGTTATAAGGATCCCATTTCAAGCTTTTCTGATTTTCAAGAATTTTCAGTCTCAAACTTGGAGGTACTTTTATCTTTTGGCTTTTGCTACTTGCAACTTTAATTTCTTATTTGTGAATGAGTAAAATTGGATGCCTGTTCTCCTTTCTTTTTTACTGGGAATTTTTCCTTATCAAAATATCTTTGTAGTTCTACTGGAAGATCATACTGGAGGAAATGAATATTTCTTTCTCTGTTAGTCCTGAATGTATTTTGCGTGAAACTCCGTTGCACCCTGGTGGTCAGTGGCTTCCTGGAGCATGTTTCAATCCTGCAGAGAATTGCTTGAGTTTGATTGGAAATAGGAGCATAAGTGACGTAGTTGTGATAACTCGCGATGAAGGAGATGATGAGGCACCTGTTACCAAATTGACTCTTGAGGAACTAAGATCAGCAGTATGGTACAAAGGCTTTTGTTATTGTGCATTATAAATTGAGTTGTAGTATGTATCTCGATTTGATTTCAAGTTGGAATATTTGTGCTGTTATTTTGGTCTGTGTAAACGTTCCAATGAGACTTCCTGCTGCATGAACTCAAATATATCATTATGTGCATCACAAAATGTTTTTCCTTTTATACGTCGTACGTACAGCAAATTCTGCTGGCAGTTCATGACTTTATGGTGACTCAACTCTGGTCATGTCACATATCTGGAAAAAATGCTAAGATGTACTCTATCAACAAGAAAAGCGAGGTTTACTTAGTGGCAAGAGCTTTCCACATTGAAAACACACACACAAAAAAAATGCTTTTCATGTCGAGCAAGGAGGTTAGATGTTCAAATCATCAAAGGTGTAAAGTGGGAATAGGCCACTATTAACTTCTGCCTGGGCAGGGGTTTTAGGGGGAGGGGATTAGGAGTTTGCACATGAAAACAAGATGTAGCAAATGCTTTTCCATGTTTCCTTAATTCCTCATGAAAGGCACTTTTGAAGGAAGAAATCATATCTTTTTGCACATTGCATTGGCTAGAGAAGCCTTAAAACATGTTGTGTTTGTATCCACTGGGTTATGTCTTCTAAAACTTTAGAGTCGTCCAACTCTGGCATAGAAAGTTTATGCGATGTGATGTGATTTGAGATATCTGCCTCCGTGCTTGTTGTGAATAAAGAAGAGAATTCGGAGATTTTTGAGGTTGACCAATCTGATTTTGCCTAAAACAGATAAATGCTACCTTCAATAATATGAAACCTATGTAGTGGCAACCTTTTTTTTAACTGAAGATTCAGTACTTTTTTCCAAAAAAGAAAAGATACTTAGTACGTGAAATTTGGAACAATTTTTTGACTTTGCTGCCAAGAAGAAAAAGAATATGACTTCTGGCAATTTGGAAGATATTTGCTTCATCTGGTGTTATGAGTTATGGATATTAATTGTAAAGCGCTTTTTAAAATCACAGGAGAGTCGCATATGCCATTGATACACTGGGATTGAAAAAAGGATCTGCAATTGCCATAGATATGCCAATGGATGTCAATTCCGTGGTGATCTACTTGGCAGTCGTTATTGCTGGTTATATGGTTGTCTCAATTGCTGACAGTTTTGCGCCAAATGAAATTTCGACGAGACTCGTGATATCAAAAGCAAAGGCTATTTTCACTCAGGTTGATCCTATTTGTCCTTCTGGAAATAAACAAAAATATGTGACTGCATAACCAGAACTATTATCCGATCCATGGTATCATAGGCAACCTAGTGATTGCAGTAGGGTTGGTGATAAACACATTACATATGAGAGTGCTAAATGTGTGTGGCTTTGAGAAAGTTGGACATGAATGCACTTATTTTTCAGATTTAGAGGTAAGCTATGTAACCTAACTTCCTGGGATCTCAGCTTTGTAGATCTGAACTTCTGGGCTTCTCACAGAGAATCTATGGTTAATGATTAATTCCTCTTTCAAGAGTAAACATTGCACATATTGAAGTCATATGTTATAGTGAAAATTGAGAATTGAGTTGTAGCCCTGATACTTCATTTGGGAAAAAGAATATTGTGGCCTAATGCTCATATGCTCCATGACTCCCATCCCATGAACTATTTCTGCTTCCCCCTACCCTGGGGTAGAGAGGCTGTTTCCAAATAGACCCCCGGCATCCTTCCCTCCAAGAACTTCCCACCTTGCTCTTGGGGAGACTCGAACTCACAACCTCTCCACTTCCAACCAAGAGGTTGTGAGTTCGAGTCTCCCCAAGAGCAAGGTGGGAAGTTCTTGGAGGGAAGGATGCCGGGGGTCTATTTGGAAACAGCCTCTCTACCCCAAGGTAGGGGTAAGGTCTGCGTACACACTACCCTCCCCAGACCCCACTAAGTGGGATTATACTGGGTTGTTGTTGTTGTTGTTGTTGTTGTTCTCTGAGATTGTTTGAATTTATCTTGAAGGCTGTTCTTTATCCTTCGGAATTCTGACTGGACTTTCAGTCACTGAACTCTTTGTATTTGATCTCTCTTTCTCTCTCTCACTCATTGGCTAAAACTCTTTTGGTTGACCATATTCCTAGGATTTCATTAGCCGTGGCGGAAAAAAACTACCACTGTACAGGTGATATCCCACTCCTTTGTCATTTTGTTCTATTTATTTGTTTCACCTTCCTAACTTACATTTCAAACCTGCAGCAAAGTCATTGATGCTCAATCACCAATAGCAATTGTAATTCCGAATAGAAGCTCCACCTCGAGCATAAAATTGCGTGATGGTGACATTTCATGGCATGAATTCCTAGAAAGAGTAGACGAATCTAAGTAAGCACTCATCTTTCTGACGTCATTTTATGGCTTTAATTCCTTCTTTTTGATAGCTAAAGTTGGATTTTGCTTCATTAATGATTTACATCTATCTAACTGTTCCATACAACAACAACAACTACGCCTCAGTCCCAACAAGTTGGGTTGTAGATATGAATCCTCGCTTCTTCCTTTAAGCTCAACTCAATATTAGCAACCAAGAATTTCACCCTTATCCTAACTTCTTGAAGACTATTTACGCGTTAAACATGCTCAAAATCATTCCATGTCTGACAAGACTCTCAAGCGGTATAGAGTAATTGTTTTGAAATAAACAACTATGTATACAGTCAGACCTTTCTATAACAGCATCCTTATATATAACAACACTTCACTATAAAAGCCAAGCTTTTCCGGAACCGATATTTATGTTATGTTATAATATATGTTCTCTATAACAATTAACAGCACTTCGCTATAACATCCAAAAATATTCGGAACAAACGAGGTTGTTATAGAGAGGTTTGATTGTATATAACTTTCTTGCTTTATCACTACCTAGCTGATCATAAGACATCAAAGATTCTTATACTTCCTACCAATCCTGTGAGGTAACCATGGCACATTTTTACTTCAATCTTGTTTATGGGAAGCTCAAAACTCATTAGCCCTCTCTCAACGTGGAACATGCAACCTGTGCATTTTATCCCCTCAATTAGACTTGGTCAATTACGCGAAAAAAATGTATCAATAAACCAGTGACATGTTTAACAAAGGAAACTTCTCTTCTTTTTTTCCCGACTATACCCTCAAATTCTTTGGACTGAAGTGCAGCGACATGGTCAGTGATATAACCGACTCCAATTGGCTTGTGATTGAGGCACAATTGTTGTCGTACAATCAAATTCCTTGAAGATATTACCTGTAGGAAAGGGTGCAAGTAACTTTGCGCAGCCAGCTTTAATGACTTGTAGATCATCAGAAATCGAGCCATCAGCAGCAATAACCCCAAATAGCTTCACTCCACCATCTGAACCTGCACTTCTACAATAGCAGCAGAAATAAAAAAAAATCTTTTTGTTCCTTGATGAATGCAGAGAATAGAGATTACGCAAGTTAATTAGTAGGTGACTACTTACTAAGGCAACCAATACAGTTCCAGCTTTACTATCATAGATAGCAATAGCCAACTCTGCAAAAAGAAAAGTTTATGCTTATGCCCAAGAGGACATCCAAATAGGGAAGCATTAATAATAGTCCTTTACCCAAATTGAGGTCTTGTTTACAAACCTATTCTTCCTCAATCCTGCTAATTGCCTAATCGGATCTTTTACCATCTAAGCCGCTACCTTGACTCTGGTTATAAATAACTAAGTATAAACTCTACACTAGCTAAAGTAGATCTGGCTCTGGAATAAAAATTGTTGCTCTCTCTCTCTCTTTAAAAAGCAGGAAGTTTGAGTATATTGGGGTGGAACTACCTGCTGAAGCATTCACAAATATCCTTTTCTCTTCTGGCACGACAGGTATTTTGATATCCATTGCAAGTATTCTGTCTTGTTCACTTATTCTCTGTACTGGGGTAAAAGTTTTCTCGAAATTCAGGGACCGGTTAAAATTATTTTATGGTTCCACTGTTAATGTGTATGTTCATTATTCTCTCTCATGGAAGGAAAGGGGGACCCTTTCTACCTTATCAATAATATCTTACCTTATAATAAGAGGACCCTTTCTTTTCTCTCCCATATTTACTGAAGAATTTTCATGATACTTACGGGAAAAGATTTTCAGTTTTTTTCTAGTGTCCTTGTAGAATTCATTTTTAAGTATTGGTATGAGAATAATGTAAAAGCTGCTTAGTCGACCCATTCATGAAGGATTAAAAAAGAATTTGTAGAGTAGAACTACAAATACAAGATTATTACATTTACCCTCTATAAATGTGTTTTAGGGGAACCAAAGGCGATTCCGTGGACTACCACTACACCCCTTAAGGCAGCTGCTGATGGATGGTCCCACTTGAACATTGGCAAAGGTGATGTGGTGGCCTGGCCGACTAATCTTGGATGGATGATGGGCCCTTTCCTAATTTACTGCACTCTTCTGAATGGAGCAACCATGGCCTTACACAATGGGTCCCCCCTTGGCTCTGGCTTTGCTAAGTTTGTGCAGGTTTGATGCAATCTAACACTGTAGACTCACTTCAATTACGGAATCAGTTGTGGTGGTGATGGTGATGATGACAAACAACTTTGATTTGTAAAACACAAATTTTATGAATCTCACTAGTTGCATACCTGATTGGCCTTACGTAAAGCAAGGAACTCTCTAAATAACACTCAATACTTCAAGCTAGATGGTCAGAGGACTTGTACAAACTTGAGGTGGCTCTCTTGCTGGACCAAGTAGATATAACAGCAAACTAAGCATTTATGCCAATACAACCTAGGACCAACTCTGTAATTAGTAGTACTCCCTCCGTTTCACTTTATGTGAACCCATTTGACTGGGCACGGAGTTTAAGAAAAGAAAGAAAACTTTTGAACTTGTGGTGTAAAATGAGGCACATAAATTTTGTGTGGCTATAAATCATTGCATAAAGGTAAATTGTTTCCAAATAAGGAAAGGGGTCATTCTTTTTGGCACGGACCAAAAAGGAAATAGGTTCACATAAATTGAAACGGAGGGAGTAGTATTTTGGACATCGTTCCTTTTTTTCCCTCTAATGCTATCAATTATTAACTTGTGATTTCTCAAAGCTAGATCCATCCCAAATGATCTTAGATTGAAAAATAGGTTTTACTATCTACAAGCTCGCTTCTCTTGACATTTTCCCTTTTATGAATTCTACCATTTTTTGCCATCTAAAATTCTCAAAAACATTTTTAGGATGCTAAAGTAACTATGCTTGGGGTGGTCCCAAGTATTGTGAGGACATGGAAATCTACAAATTGCACTGCTGGTTATGATTGGTCAGCCATCTGGTAATGCTTCTTAAGCATCTTTCAAATAGTTAGGTCTTTACAGAGACACTGTATTGTTAATGAAATTATGTGTTATTTTGTTGCCTTCTCTTTTTACCCCTAGACCTGCATGCAAACACTGCTCTGTGCTCTTGGACATATCTATACGAAATGAGTTTCTTTAGAATTTTATTTGACTTCCATAATCCGTGTTGAAACTTGAAATGTCTCACGCACCAAAGATACTTCCAACCTTTTTCTAGCTTAATTTAGTTATGTATGATGGCAGCCGCTTTGCCTCCACTGGTGAAGCATCTGGTGTGGATGAATCCCTTTGGCTGATGGGAAGAGCTCATTACAAGCCTGTAATAGAGATCTGTGGTGGGACAGAAATTGGTGGTGGATTTATTGCTGGTTCGTTGTTGCAACCACAATCTTTATCTGCTTTTAGCACAGCAGCTATGGGTTGTAGTCTATTTATTATTGGCGAAGATGGGTCCCCTAGAGTAAGTATCTTTCACCCTTTCTCAAAACAATAAAGAGTGATTTTCTTATTAAACGAGTTCATCAGCACAGATCAGTTCTTTCTTTAAGATGCAAACATTGCAGGTCTCGTGTAGGAGGCTGTCAAACATTATAATGCCTTAGCTCTTGGTAAATTTCAACTTCTGTTGATACTGCATCTAGGGGCTCTTCCTCTAAAGTATCGTGCTTATTTCTGGGCTCTGTCTATCTCTAGCATACTTGGATATAGTATTGAAGTTAGAACCTTTGGTATTAGAAAACATAATATGTTACTGCATAATATTCCAAGTCAGATGAGCAAACAGTCCCCTGCTTTTACATAAAGAGCAGAATATTCCATTGCATCTGTCTGCTGTTAAGCTGTTCTTAAAAATGCTCTGGTACATTGATCTGCCTTTTATGTTTGGCATGCATGTACCTCATATTCCAAGTGAATAGAGTGGAGCATCCTTTCAAGTTAGAGAGTCAACTGCCTAAGAAGTGATAAAATATAGTGACAATCTGGCAGTTGGAGTTGGATAACGAAAATGGTTTGAAAGAGATTATGTTAAGGTGGTCTTTCTGGTTTTTGGTTGTCTGTGGTTTACATGTTATTTTTATAAAAAATCAGCTTGTTCCCAGCCAATTTAGTAAACTTCCAAGTTTTTACTAATATTCTGGGTTGCAAGGTTGAAAGATTTCCCATAGCATATCTTAGCTTGCTATGAGTAAAAGTCAAGCAATCTACATTATCACAGGGATAGTTGAAAATTATTAAAGGAGGTTAGCTGCATGGAAAAAGCAGTAATCATCCCTGGAAGGGAGACTCACGCTCATGAACAGTGTGTTGGACGAAAGCTCCTCATACTGTAAGTCGTTATACTCTATACTTCCGTCGTTGCTAAGCAGTTGGACAAATTAAGGAGAAATTTCTGATGGCAAGGGAATTCTGAATGGAGTAATAAGGAAGTCTTCGGCACTAAACATGGTATGGCAGATAAGCACTTGAAGAATTTCAGAAAAAATTCAAATTTCTGTGGAAGATGGAAGAAAATTTAGAATGTAACAGAATTGAAGTGAATTCCTTTTCGAAAAATAGAAATGGAGTGAATAGGAAGCATAAGACAATTTTCGAGATCTTCCACCCGTTATTATGGATCAGGAAGAAACCATTGCTGAATGTAGAGCTAGAAACAGGTGAAAATGAACTTCAGAGTAAAAATATCTTAATGGGAGATGGACAAAGCTGGTCAACTCCTAGGGAGAATTAAAATTTGAAGGACTTGGACAGTGGACCTGATTCCTTAAGTGGAAATCAAATTAAAATAGTGTCATCTTTGTTAAATCCTGTTAGAACACTTGAAGCAAAGTAGATGTCATGAAAAAGGATTGCCATGGACGAAATATTGTAGGAAAGAGGAAAGAGTAGCGGGAATTGGGTAGAATTCTGTTCATTCAAACTGCAGCGAAGTGATCTTTATTCTCCTCTTTTCTTTGCAGGGGAGGGAGGGAGGAGGTGGAGTGGTTGAGGGTTGTAAAGAAAGAGAGCTTCCTTTTATTCATAAAGTGGTGCCATAATTACCGTTGAGTAGGAAGCCTTCTCCCCCAAAAAAAAAGATACTGTTATGAGGAAAACTTCAAACTTTACCTAAATGCCCTTTTCATGGTCAAGTACAGGGTTCTAATCAATAGGGGGATGAGCACGTATGCTAATGGCAATTGATGGCTGCTAAATGAAAAGCTGAAATTTTACATTGAAAGATAAATATTGTAAGTAGCCCTTTAAAGATATTCGATACATTCAAAGTAATGCTGTAACTTTAATTGTAGCCATCAGATGTTCCTGGGATTGGTGAACTGGCCCTTGGTCCCCTTCTACTTGGGGCGTCGAGCACACTGCTGAATGCTGACCACTATGGTGTCTACTTCAAAGGAATGCCAGTTTGGAATGGAAAGGTAGCTAGTTATTATTTCTAATTCTATGATACTTTAATCTTTCTTACATGTTTGCTTAATGAGTTACTCATCACCTAGCAGGTTCTGAGAAGACATGGAGATGTATTTGAGCGTACTTCTAGAGGTTATTATCGTGCACATGGCCGTGCAGATGACACCATGAATCTGGGGGGTGTGAAGGTTTACTCTTTACCTTGTATTGTTACTCACAGATCATGAATTAGGGTCTCTTTGGTTTTAAGACTTCATTTGATAAATATTATTACTTGAGACTACTCCTATTTTATCAATTTTTCAGTTGAACCTATCCTGCTTATGTAACTGATATATGCTTCATTTGCAGAAAGATAATATTCCTCATTCCCAAACAAAAAAAATCTATTTTGATATATATTTAATCAATTCAGATTCTCATAATAAGTGGTCCTTGGCTCATTACATCTATATCCTTGTTATACCTGTGTATATTTATGAATAAATGCATGTTTTCTCTTCTTGCTTATCAGTTGTATTAGTTGCAGACAAATTTATGTATTGTTTTCTCTCTTACCCGTAACTGAAACTTGTGATTCGTTTTGCCAGGTAAGTTCTGTCGAGATTGAGAAAGTTTGTAATGCAGTTGCTGAAACTATCCTTGAGACGGCAGCTATTGGGGTACCACCTCCTGGAGGTGGCCCTGATAAGTTAGTTATCGCCGTTGTATTTAAGGATTCTGAAGGGTCAAAGCACAACTTGAATTCATTGAAGTTCTCTTTCAACTCAGCTTTGCAAAAGAAATTGAATCCTCTATTCAAGGTATGCATTTATATTCAGCTTTGGTAATGCTAAGTGTTGAATTTTCCCTTATCAGGCCTAAATATTGCAGGTTTCACATATAGTAGCCCTCCCTTCCCTTCCAAGAACAGCAACAAATAAAGTCATGAGAAGAGTTTTGAGACACCAATTCTCTCAAATTGGCTCTAAACTGTGATCTATGCAACTATGTAGGCCCTTGATTTGACTTGTAATTATATTAGTTTGATTAGAACTACTATTATGAGAATAATGAAGTATTTAAACAATTAGTCAATAATGGTGGGTTATTCTATCTGATTTAATATTTGTTTGTTGCTATATCTAGTTCTTCAAGCATAATTCAGCTTTTCACTATTGTTGTTATAGTTAGCTTTTAGGGTCGAAACAGATTATGGACTATCTTTTCATTCGACTAAATTCACAAATAGCCGAAATTTGCTGACTTTGAACCTAAAATTAATGTTTGAATTAGATAGTGCAAATATTGACAAAAACTTGATTTTTAAACTAAACATTAATGTTAAAATTGTGATAGTGTAATAATTTAGCAAAATTTGACTTAGCAATTAATTTTAAATTTTCTCAATCATTGTTCCTCTACTTACTAACTATAGGGGTATCAAGTTACTAACAACTTGTTTGGATGGTTGTTTTATATAGTTTCATAATGTATCGTATTGTATTGTACTGTACTGTATTGTATCGTTTGATGAATATAATGTTTGGATGGATTGTGTCGTTTTGTCGTCGTTTTATGTTATCACGCACCAGTAATATGATGAATAAGCTTGCAATATTATAAAGAAAAATTATGATGCGGTATATAAAAAGGTAGGGTAAATGATAAAATAAAATTATTTAATAAAAATGAAGGGTGAAATTGAGAGAAAAGGACAAGGTAACGATGCGACCACACCAAATCGGTCGTTGCATAAAGTGGCACATTTCATCGTTATGTAACGACGGATTTAAGATACGATACGATAAAATTTAAGTAACAATCAAAACAAACACTGTATTTAAAGTAACAATACGATACAATACAATAGGTAACAACCATCCAAACAAGTTATAAGTCATACCATGAAAGTTTGGGAGAGAGTGGTGGAAAGGAGGGTAAGAAGGGCGGTGTCTATATCAAAAAATCAGTTTGGGTCCATGACGGGTTATTCTACTACAAAAGCTATCCAACTTATTAGGAGGTTGGTGGAATAGTACAGAGATAGAAAGAGGGATTTACACATGGTGTTTATTGACCTAGAGAAGGCGTATGACAAGATCCCTAGGGACGTTCTTTGGAGATGCCTGGAAGTGAAAGGTATGTCGGTAGCTTATATTAGGGCGATAAAGGTTATGTATGATGGAGCTAAGACTCGGGTTAGGACTGTGGGAGATGACTCAAAGCCTTTTCCTGTGGTTATGGGGTTACACAAAGGATCTACGCTCAGCCCGTTCTTATTTGCCCTGGTAATGGACACACTGACACACCATATTCAAAGGGAGGTGCCATGATGTATGTTGTTCGCTTATGATATAGTTTTGATTGATGAAATGCGATGCGACATTAATGAGAGATTGGAGGTATGGAGGCAGACCCTAGAGTCTAAAGGTTTCAAGTTGAGTAGGACCAAGACGGAGTATTTGGAGTGCAAGTTCGGCGATGTGTCGGGGGACACAAACGTAGAAGTGAGGCTTAATTCACAAGTCATATATAGAATAGAGAGTTTCAAGTACCTAGGGTTAATTATCCAGGGAAACGGGGAGATCGATAGGGATGTCACGCACCGTATCAAGGTGATGTGGATGAAATGGAGGTTAGCGTCTGGAGTCAAGTGTGACAAGAATATGCCACCGAAACTTAAAGGTAAATTCTATAGAGCGGTGGTTAGACTGGCCATGTTGTATGGGGTTGAGTGTTGGCTACTCAAGAATTCACATATCCAGAAGATGAAAGTAGAAGAAATGAGGATGTTGAGATGGATGCGCGGGCACAATAGGTTGGATAAGATTAGGAATGAAGATATTCGGGAGAGGGTACGCGTGGCTCCCATGGACGACAAGATGCAAGAGACGAGACTTAGATGGTTCGGGCACATGTAGAGGAGGAGCCTAGATACCCCGGTTAGAAGGTGTGAGCGGTTGGCTTTGGCAGATACAAGAAGATGTATATGGCGGCCTAAGAAGTATTAGGGCGAGATGATCAGGCAGGCCATGACACAGCTTCAGATTTCCGAGGACATGACCCTTGATATAAAGGTGTGGAGGTCGAGCATTAGGATTGTACGTTAGGGGGTAATTGAGCATTTTTCCTCGTTGTATCGACTAGTCTGATAGTATTTTGTCTAGGACTACTAGCGGTTTTTGTTGTATTTCATATTTTTTTTAATTATTATCATTATTATTGCCCTTCCATTTATTTGTTGTCTATTACGGTACTGTTATTATTTTTCTGGTTTCTGTTGTTATTACGGATATATTGTCTCTGAACCGAGGGTCTCCCGGAAATAGCCTATCTATCCCCTCGAGGGTAGGGGTAAGATCTGCATACACTTACCCTTTTCAAACCGCACTAGTGAGATTCTACTGGGTGATTGTTATTGTTGTTTGTTCCTCTTACTTACTGCCTCTTGTCCATTTTAGTTGTCAAATTTCTTCTTACACGTTCTTTAAGAAGCTATTAACAAGTAGAGTTTTTGATTATTATACTTTTATTTACTCTTACATTTAGGTTTTTTATGCGATATAATCAATATGTTTTACTTTCAAGAATAATTAATATTAGGGACAAATTAAAAAAAAATTGTATCTTAATTTGTTAAAATGCTAAGTATTTTGGATCAGTTATTTTTAGTAACTACTACAACTAAAATGTACGAGAGGGAGTATTCTTTTCACTCTCCGATGATGTCTCTTAGATGAAAGGAGCTACTGAACCCATCGAATAGGGGTGAGCATCAGTCGGTTCAGTTTGGTTATGAATGTTATCGGTTTAGCATATCGGTTATCGGTTTATAAATTTAATAAATCGATAAGATATCGGTTATCGGATATTGATTAATCGGTTATCGATCATTATCGGTTCGGTTATCGGTTTACCCGATAAGATAACTCAATCTAGAGTTAAACAAAAAGGATAAGACAATTCACTTGGAGTTAAGCAAAAGAGAGAAGAATTCACATATACTATACTACCCATTTCTACATTATGTCTAGTGGCCACAACTGGAGTAATACTAATACTTCAACAACCAGTTGCCCAAATACATTAATAATAATACAAAGTAGTAGCAATTTCACCTTAAAATTAACTAGTCCAAACATATAGTACTAACAATTTAAATTCAAGTTAACAAAACAACAACTACTCAATCCTTGTAGGCTTCACCAAAAAATCAGTGGATAAATACTTATCAAACTGCAGCAATTCCCACAAAATATTCCAAGGCATTAGTTGCCTCCTCCAATATGATAACAACAATAGTTGATTTAGAATTTTTATTTCACACAATACCTGCACTTCCACAAGCGTTGAAGCCCTCAAACAGTCCAATATAATATAGATGTTGTTTGTCAAATGCCTAACCTGAAAAAAGAAACCATAGAGCAATCCCTATATGAAGATGAAAGGTTTACGCTAGAGTAACTAGTAAGGTCTATGAAGAATGAAGATGAAGCAACTGAAGAGTGCGGCTGAGAAAGAATAGGAGAGAATGAACTGAAACCCTAGCTATGTATATACTTAAGGGTAAAGTCATAATTTTATTAATTCTTATTGGGTTATCGGTTAACCCATTAATAAAATTGGCAAACTGAGGTCCGGACCGATAACCCAATAGTGAAAAAATTCTAAACCGTTACCAAACCATTAACCCAATAACCTAATACCGATAACCCAATAAACAATTAACGTTCGGGTTATCGGTTTTATCCGATATATGCCCAACCCTACCATTGAACACGATATGCAGGGATTACATTGAAATTAAGCTATAATTTAAGGATCAAAGTGGAATTAAATTACTGTAGAGGGGGCACAATGCGCACCAGGCACAATCTAGAGACCACTAGAGAACACGATATCATAATCGAAAAGCTTAGCAAGAAGTTCCTCCTTTGCAGGCATTCAAGTTCCACCTAACCGGAGACGGAGTGAACCACCTCGGCCGGCACGGCCTATATGGAAAAATTTTCTCCACAATAAGCTCGATTTTCATTCAGAAATCAGTTCAAAATCTAGGGTTCTTATTGGAGGGGACAATTTCATGGCGTCAACTCTCATCTCGAAACCTACCCTTTCCTCTGCTTTCCTCGGCCAACAACTGTAAGCATCTCTGCCTAGAGAAATCTTCCGTGGGATTTTCTTGTCTATTATAAGTCGTATATTGAACATTTGGGATCTATTAAGTTGTTGTTGGAGTTTAAAAGTTCCTAATTTTTTATTTTTTATTTTTGCAGTTCGACTAGAGGAAATTCAAAGAGTTCGGCACCCTCTGGTTTGTTTCTAAGGGGCCCAAGATGTGCGGCGACGGACACTCCTTATGGAGGTGAGTTTTTTGATACTAACACCCATCAAATTAAAACGTCTATGAGAAGGGAATTGTCAAGTAGATAGAATAGACAACAGTAATTGATGAATTTTAGTAGGTTTAGATAGATAAATCAATGGCCGGTTTGGATTTCTGGGTTAGTGTTGAAGTTTGTGTTACAATGTTATAACGGGCTTGAATCTTGGTGCTCAAGGAGCTGAGTTGAAACTAAGTATTTAGTAGGGGAACTTTATACTCAAAAGTATTCAGAGAATTGAAACTCTGTAAATTTCTCTACTGAAAACTCCATTGAAAATGATAAGGGATTAAAACAAAAATTCTGGGGCACAGATATCTTTCTGAAGCCTTAATCATTCCCTCCAAGCCAAATTATTGAAAAGGGCGTTGACTTTTTTCACTTAGATAAGTTTTTTTGTGTTTCCAAGGAGCTGTAAGAAGAGGGAAAAAGGGATAGTTAAATTAACCTTGTCTTTTGGTATTGGATATGATACATATGTATATTGGATCTCAGGTTCTTTTCGAAATGTTTGTTTAAAATTCTAGCATTAAACTTTTATGCTGATGTTCATGATTCGATTTTGGAAGGTAATATTCCGCAGTTTCCTCGAGTGAATGTTTGGGATCCCTACAAACGTCTTGGAATAAGTCGCGATGCTTCTGAGGAAGAAGTTTGGAGCTCACGCAACTTTTTGTTAAATCAGTATTATAATCACGAGAGAAGTGCAGAATCAATTGAAGCTGCCTTTGAGAAGATACTAATGGCAAGCTTCA